CCCCCCAATTGGTTTTGTCTAATTTTCCTGATGTGATATTTGCAAATGTAGTTTATGATATGTTTATTTCTGGACTTCAATGATTCTTGCACAATTTTCAATAGCAAAATATTTGGTTTGAACAGTTCATGAGTTCAGCACATTTAAATAGTTCTGTTTATTTTTCAGTGCTTCTTGTATAATTTTTCTACCTGATCCATCATTTTTCAAAGATGCACAGAGCTCAGAGACTATTTGAACTGGCCAGTGTGATGCTTTATGACTTCCTTAAGGCAGACCAAGAAAATTCCTGTAACACCTGGGCTCCACATAAAGTTTCCTGTGCTCCTTGAACTCATGAATACAAAGAAAATATTTGCAAAGACAAAAATGTTTCCAAGAGGGCTTGCACCCATTTCTTTTCTGAGGTAGTTCAACCCCGCCACCAGCATGGAATCCACACTCCATCAACCTGTACTCAGGAATAAGGTTTCCTGTACACTGATATATTAAATCATAACGACTTGAGGCTCTGTGAAGTTCATTGGCTAAGCAAGTAGATCCTAATCTATGTCTCTACAGTGTTCAACAGCAACAGAATGGGATTCTTGAAGTTCCACTGGAAGCTTGCAGGAGGCATTTCAAAGCAGGGCCTCAAATGAAAACCAGTCATATGATCCTCAATTTACACAAGTCTCACCAGGCAAGATTTGTAGGCAAGACATGTCTAGCAATGCAATGTCATCTCCACTGGTAGTTTATTCACCAAGTCACTGAAAATTATTTTGAATTTGTCCTCTTGGGATCAAGAACCCCCTCCGCCCCCATGAGTAAGATGAAAAGGGGCTGAGGTTAGGGCCCCATCTGTCGCCTGGAGCGGAGAGTGGCCAGAGGCCCTCCTGGCATGAGAGTGACCTCCTGACCCCCGGCTCATTAGTGCTGTGCTCAGCCAACTGCGCTCCCTTCGTTGGGAGATGTGGCCTGGCCCATTGTTGCTTCTGAACAGCACCAGGGAGGGGAGCTACTGCAAAGCTTTTCTCTTTCCTTCCAGGAAACTTAGATAGTGAGATTAGATCCGATGCAGCGGTGATAAGAAATATAGCACTCCACTCCATATGTTTTAGTAACTCCAAGCCAGACTATTTCACTGCTGACCCATGCCGCAGTACACATGGGTCATTGCAGTCTCTTTCCCAAACTGCCTTTCAGCCACCTGGCTGTGTAGCAGGGCTGCCTGAGGAATCTGAGCCACAGAGGGGAGCTCCAGGCTGCATTTCATGGCACTGAAATGCAGTGCCATGAAGTTGAAAACTTCAACTCTTCATATCCGAGAGTGGAGGGGCTTCCTGAGATTCTTGACGAGACGCTCTCACGTCGCCCCCAATTGCCACTGTGTGCTCTTTGCTTCCCGACACTTGAAATGTGTTCATCTTGACAGATAGATCACATAAATTCCTACCACTGTGAGATATAGGTTCAGATGATACACATTATTTTTTTCCATCAAGTTTCACAGTTTTTAGAGTTATCTAGAACTCCTTTCTAAGCTTTCTGTTCAGAGGATGCATCCTGGATTATATCAGATAAGCACAGCTTTATTACATAAACAGGGAGGAGTCATTTTAGAATTTGTTTCATCTAAGCACTTTTTCTTTTTGGCGAAGTAGTTCAATGTTACACAAGGTGCATGGATCTGGAGTCAGGAAGGCCTGTGTTCAAATCTCTCTCCTGTTACCTGTGCCTCAATAACAGCGCAGACAGTTTGAGCAAGCTACTTAACCTCGCTGAGCTTTATTTTCCTATGCTGTAGGAAGGGGATAACACACGCTTCATTAGTGTCGTTGAAATCAAACTTGTTTGGAGAACATTGAACAGAATAAACCCTCAACAGAAAAAGCTACGTTTCCTTTCTTTTCTCTGTGACAATTAGAGAACCACAAGGAAATGCCAATATTTTAATTGGGGGATCGAACCCAAATTTTAGTTGGGTTCAACATTGCAAAGGGGCAGGGCAGACTATCACACAGCTCCTGGGGCTGGTTACTCGGAAGCCAAGGTTACCTGGAGGTCCTCGGTTGCTCCGGGGTGCAGGGACCACTTTGACATGATCTGGGACAATCTTCCATTCATCAGGGACTGTCCTCTACATGACCATAGGAAAAAATGATTCAAGCTTTTTATGAGTTGAACCATATCCCCCCAAAATTCATATGTTCAAGTCCTAATTCCCAGCACCTCAAAATATGACCTTATTTGGAGATAGGGTCTTTACAGAGGGAATCAAGTCAAAATGTGATCGTTAGGGTGGGCTCCAATCTAATGTGCCTGATGTCCTTGTAAAAGGGGAAATTTGGAGACAGAGACAGACACACACAGAGAGAGAACGCATGTGAACACAAAGACTGTCTACGAGCCCAGGAGCAGACGCCCACCTCACAGCCTCAGAGGGAACCAACGCTGGTAACACCTTGATCCCAGACTTCCAGCCTCCAGAACTGGGAGACGATAAATTGCTGTTGTTTAAGACACTCGGTCTGTGGTACTTCGACGAGGCCCCTATGGAACAGACTACGGAGAGGTCCCACTCACATTGTTCTATGTATTCAGAGGGCTTACAATCTCCTCAGCAGCGCACCCTCCAATCTGCTTCCTAAAAAGATCCCCCTGCTCCGGTCGACACTCCCACCTTGCTGGCTGCATCCTCCTTTGTGGGCAGAAGCTTTCTTCCTTTTCCCAAAAGGCTAGTTTGGGGTTAATTGAAAGTCACTAAAGGTGACTGGGATTAAGCCCAGTTTGTGTCTGTTGTGAACACTTGTGTACAAGTTATTGTGTAGATATATATTTTCATTTGTGTTAAGTAAATACCTACTAGTAGAATTTCTGGGTTACATGGTATACCTGTGTTTAACTTTGTAAGAAAGTGACATACTCTTTTCCAAAGTGTTTGTTCCATTTTGTGAAATACGTTCCTGCCTGCAATGTATGAGGTTTCCATTTGCTCTACTTGCTTGGCAACACTTGGTTTTGTCCATCTTTATCATTTTAGCTGTTCATTAGGAAGTATAACGTTAGATAAAAACAGGCCTGCCCTTAAAAGTCAACTTTAAGAGATACTGATCTAAAGTCAAAATATTTAATAATTCGGCCACCCATGCAATTGAAAGAGCACCCACAACACAATGGGGGGAATAAAATACACAGAATAGCTACAATTCTTGATTAAAATCAGGAAATTACAAACTGTTCATTTTGGGGAAAAAAGGTTTAATAAAATGGCCCTGCTAAATAAAACTGAATTGCAAAGTGAGGTGGTAGAGTAGGTGGAGAGTCCTTCAGTTTCAGACAATGAGAAGTAGATTAAGAAAATGTTTAGAAATACAGCTTGTAGTATATTTTTAAAACAAAATTCCTAAGGTCAGATTAGTTTTTTTCTCTTCT